GTGGCTCTTCCACAAAATACCATGTGCGGGCACGCACATACAGTGCGATTGAAACTTCGTGGCCCATGCGCAGAAGTTGGTTTTCGGACTGGGCAAGTCTATTTTGAAGAAGTGGCATTAGAAGAAGTGGGGGGTGTCAGTCAGTCGGTCCTGCGACGGGAGATGCAGCGCGGGGGAGGCGAGCACCATTCATGCACGAGTTGAGTGAGCCAGTCAGTCAGCAGTCTCATTGTGCAGTGGTTAGTGCTAGTCGCGTCCGCAAATCGCGCACAGGTGACAAAAGTACCTACTCGAAGCATAAAGTTACCTGTATTTTTCCAACCAGCTGCAAATCCTAAGGTATTTTTGTCATCAATATAAGAATTTTGTGTTGGTGGCTTTATTATTAGAAAATGAAACATTTTTTTAGATGCCCTGTTTGAGATGGCTACAAAGAAGCAGCAAAGAAAAACGGAAGATGAAAACCATGAATTTGAAGTTGAATTTAAAGCTGAATGTACCTACCTATATAGTTTAAGTTTAAAAAACTTGGCTCTCAAAAGAAATTTCAATCGTTGCACTGTTGATATTTGGCTCTGTTGACTAATGAGTTTGCTGACCACTGCCCTAGGGGAACTCTAGTCCCCTCCGTCCCACCCCACCTCCACCTACACCTCTACCTGGGTAGCTCTCTGGCCTTGGCTGCAGGCAGGTGTGCTCAAGAGGTTGCAGCCCAGGCCACCTGGCAGTTCCAGGTGCTGTGCGTGTGCTGCAATGGAGACGGGCCCTAGGGTTGGTGGGGAGAAAACAGTCTCCCAAAGCTTTGTGGGTTCAGGAGAAGAGAGACTGGAGCCTCAGGCCCTTCAGGTTAGTCTGCTGACCACTCTAGTGCCAACTGAAGCCCAGATGGGTGCCCTGGGTTTTTTTCCAGGACAAAGGGAGGGAGCAGGAGCCAGGGGAGGCCAAGTATTGGGAGGAGGCTCTGCAAGGGCTGATCCAGGGGCCTGTGCAGGGGAGCCTCCAAGCCTCCTGGTCAAGGGGAAAAGCCTTGCCAGACCCCTGCACAAAAGAGCGGGGGTTGGCCCTGTACCCCAAGGTGGGAGGAGGGAAAGAGGCCTGGCATTTGTTCCCAGAGGAGGGCCAGCTGCACTCGTCAGGGAGTTGAGGCCACAGGGAAGGATGTAGTTGCTCTCTAGCACCAACCCCTGACTGCGGCTCCCCTCCTTCTCCCTGGAGTCCCAGAACCCAAGGGCAATCACATGGAGCATAGGGGCATATTTATCCATCTCCAAAGCTGGGGTGCAGTCTCCTCTGGTGGCAGCTCATTAATAATGGGGTGGCTCAGGCCTTCGCCCTGATAGAGGGGATACTACGGAAGCACCAGACTTAACTACGGGTTAGGACTGGGTCAGAGGTCCTCAAACTACGGCCTGCGGGCCACATGCAAATACAAATATTGTATTTGTTCCCGTTTTGTTTTTTTACTTCAAAATAAGGTATGTGCAGTGTGCATAGGAATTTGTTCATAGTTTTTTTTTAAACTATAGTCCGGCCCTCCAATGGTCTGAGGGACAGTGAACTGGCCCCTGTTTAAAAAGTTTGAGGACCCCTGGACTGGGTGATCTGGAACAGATCGCTTCGTCTCTGAACCGAAGTGTTTTCATCTGTGAAATGTGGGTGATAATACTTTTTAACAACCCACAGACCACTTTTACCCTAGGACCGAGCACAGGGGCAGAGCTTAATGTGTGTTCCTTTGCTTCTTTTCTCTTTCTGCCCGGATGTCTCTTGCCAGGCCTCCTGGCATCTGGTCTGAAGATGGCTGAGCAGCAGGGCGGGGAGCCTGAGTGCCCTGTCTGCTGTAACCCCTTCGACAACACGTTCCACACCCCCAAAGTGCTGGACTGCGGCCACTCCTTCTGCGTGGAATGCCTGGCCCACCTCAGCCTGGTGACTCCAGCCCAGCGCCAGTTGCTGTGCCCACTCTGTCGCCAGCCCACTGTGCTGGCTTCCGGGCGGCCTGTCACTGACTTGCCCACAGATACTGCCAAGCTCACTTTGCTCCACCTGGAGCCCCACCACGTCATCCTGGAAGGCCATCAGCTCTGTCTCGAGGACCAGCCCAAGAGCTGCTCCTTCCTGCGCCAGCTCCAGGTCTACACGCTGGACGTAGGCCCGGAGCCCAGAAGCCAGACTGAGGACCCCCAGGCCATGGCCCCCACCACCACGCCTCAGTCCAACCCCATCCCCACCTTCTACTCCCTGAGGGAGTGTTTACAGGACCCTGAGCTCCCGGAGGCATACCTGAAGGCTGCCATCCTCAGTATCACTCTGTTGTTCATTGTCTGCATCGTTTGGGTCATACAGTTCTGTGGAGTATGAGGTGAGCATCGGCTCCAGACAAGGTGCAAGCCTATCTCAGCTGCTGCGGATGTGGGGACTGCAGAGCCTCGTGTCTTCCTTGGTCATATTGTTCATTTTTACAGCCCACATGGATCAGGTGGGCCATGTGTTTGCTTCTGGAACAGAGTCCTACTATACTGAGAATCTCTGAAAGCTCAAGGACTGGGAAAAGATGCGAGGAGACCTCTGGGTGTGAGCCACGGGGTCTTGAAAGGGCCGAGAGGCAGGTCTGATTACAGAGCAACAGCTGTCTCCAGGAGCCTGACTCGCCCAAAGAGTAAGCTGCATCTCTCACTGGAGCTGCTTTGAACTCATCACTTTTTTTTTTTTAATTGAATTGTTCTCTTTATTGTGTTGCTAAAAAATTAGGAAAGTGATCTTCAATTCTGTGAGCAAACGTGTGTCTCAGTTTTCTCTTTATCTTGCCACCAGTCCCAGTAAAAAATGGTCTGCGTTCATTCATTTATTCACTTATTTCGCTGATGCTATGTTCGAACTAGAGAAAGAGAAAGGTAGGGCTATGCAGGGGTGGCAGAGCCCTCTCCAGCAGGGAGGATGTGCTCATTACCTGCTTCTGGCGCAAGGCAACCTCCTGTGGGTATGTGGTTTATGGAATGTTAGGAGTCTGAAAGTTTATTTGTTAAAATATATTTTATTGATTTTTTACAGAGAGGAAGGGAGAGGGACAGAGAGTCAGAAACATCAACCAGCTGCCTCCTGCACACCCCCTCCTGGGGATGTGCCCGCAACCAAGGTACATGCCCCTGACTGGAATCGAACCTGGGACCTTTCAGTCCAAAGGCTGACTTTCCACTGAGCTAAACCGGTCAGGGCAGGAGTCTGAAAGTTTAAAGGTGAAAGCAGGTTCAAAAGAAATCTGGGATTTGGAGGAGTTTTTATTCCTCCTAGTAGGTGCAGAGATCCTGACGAGAACACTGGGTGCAAGATGGAACTGACCCCCTCCACCAAGCCCTGAAATTCTGGCCTCAAGAGGTAAGGCAGAAACCCTGGCTAGAGTGAAAACCTTAGCCTCTTCTTCTGCTAGACATTTTCTATAAGCTTTCAGTCCTTTTCCTGAATAATCAGAGTTAAATTACGTCTGGCAATAGGATCTGGGTCTATGACTTTGACCACTTCTAAGACACATGTCTTAAGAGCTTATTAAGAGCTATATTTTCCTCAATACAAATTTCTTTGAGCTAATTCAGGGGTGGGCAAACTTTTTGACTCTAGGGCCACAATGGGTTCTTAAACTGGACCGGAGGGCCGGAACAAAAGCATGGATGGAGTGTTTGTGTGAACTAATATAAATTCAAAGTAAACATCATTACATAAAAGGGTATGGTCTTTTTTTTTTTTTAGTTTTATTCATTTCAAACTGGCCGGATCTGGCCCAAGGGCCGTAGTTTGCCCACGGCTGGTTAGGGTCATTAGCGCCCTCTTCTGGGCATTCTAGAGAAGGGCACCCTTTTAAGGTTTGGGGCCAAATAGCGCCCTCTTGAGCGCATTCTGACAGCAGCACTCTAGTAGGGGATTAGTCTCAGTGCACTCTTACGGGCATTCTAAGAACAGCAACCTGGTTAGCGATTAGACTCTATAGCGCTATCTTGTGGGCATTCTTAGAACAGCACCCTAGTTAGGGATTAGGCTCCATAGCGCCCAGTTGTGGGCAGAGGACAGCACCCTGGTAAGGAATTTTTGTACATTAAGGGGTCTTCCTTTTTTTTTTCTTTTTTTTCTTTTTAAATTTTTGGTTTTCTCATTGAGTGATTTTTTCCCACCCTTTCTTCTAATACACTGATCCAATCCTCAGCTTTTCTTAATCTGCTATGTATTTCTTCCAGTGTGTTCTTTATTAGTGCTACATCAGCCTATATTTCCGACTGTATTCATAGTTACTATATCTTTTCTCATGCTGTTGAGCATCTTTAACATCATTCTAAACTCTGTATCAGGTAAGTTACTTATCTCCATTTCATTTATCTGTTCTTCTGAAGAATTCTTTTGTTCTTTAATTGTGGTGGGGGTTTTTTGCCCATTTTGGCTGCCTGTTTGGGTTTGTGGCTATGTGTTAGGTAGATCTGCTACACCTTTCAATCTCTACAGGACAGTGTCAAATGCTGTTTCTGACTAATGAGATCAGGCAAATACTCAAAGCCTCCAGAGACCAGCCTCTGCTTGTAGACCAGTGGTTCTCAACCTGTGAGTCGCAACCCCTTTGGGGGTCAAACGACCCTTTCACAGGGGTCGCCTAAGACCATCGGAAAACACATATATAATTACATATTGTTTTTGTGATTAATCACTATGCTTTAATTATGTTCAATTTGTAACAATGAAAATACATCCTGCATATCAGATATTTACATTACGATTCATAACGGTAGCAAAATTACAGTTATGAAGTAACAACGAAAATAATTTTATGGTTGGGGGTCACCACAACATGAGGAACTGTATTAAAGGGTCGCGGCATTAGGAAGGTTGAGAACCACAGCTGTAGACTGATTGAATTAGCTTTTAAGAAGCCCTCAGGCAATCATCCTCAGGTGTGGGGAGGTTTTCCAATAGGGTGGGACAACTGTCTCCCCCGCAGACAAAAACTGCCTGCAGAGCAAAGGTCTGACTGAGAAAGATGGCCTCCTCAGTGTGAGGAAACCGAGGTGTCTGCCTTCTGAGCACTAACTTTAGGATGATTTTTTTTTGTAATTTAGTTGAAATTCCAGTTTGGTCCTGGCACCTTGTCTGTGTAGCATCCACTTACTCTGTGGCCATTTTTAATCTCCCTTCTTTTTGACATTCTTAGAACAGCACGCTGGTAAGGGATTATGCTCAATCCACCAGGGCTGCTGCTTGACTACACATTGCCGCTTCTGCAGTGTCTAAAACCTGATTTCTGCTTCCCCAGTTTTTCTTTTCTTTTTTTTTTTTTAAAGATATTTTATTGATTTTTTACAGAGAGGAAGGGAGAGAGATAGTCAGAAACATCGATGAGAGAGAAACATCGATCAGCTGCCTCCCGCACACCCCCCACTGGGGATGTGCCCGCAACCAAGGCACATGCCCCTGACCGGAACCGAATTTGGGACCCCCCCAGTCTGCAGGCCGACGCCCCATCCACTGAGCCAAACCGGTTTCGGCTGCTTCCCCAGTTTTTATATTGCCTGGTGGCCCATGGCTCTAAAACAACTTCAAAGTGGTTATAAAACACCATCACAATTATGAAAAGATAACATTTTGAAATTTTTTTAAGAATTTGTAAAATAAGCTTTCAGAAGCCTGAAATTGAGTTGGTTTGAGTTTAACATTTTTGAGTTTAATGGAATTAGCTTCTACAAATTCTTGGGGTCTTAATGTACAAGATATTACAAAATAGCCAAGACATATATTTCACATTTAATAAAACCAAACAGTCTTAAGATGTGAAGAAAAAGTGGGGTAAAAAATTCTCCATTACAAAATTGGAAAGTCACCAATGTATCCTGCCAGGGGACTAGTACCTACCTCTCCATTTGTGCCATCAAAGATAATTACACCGAAGCTGGGATGCAAGCTCTCCCCACTGACTTCATTTCTTTACACATCCTTGCTCCTTAACCTTGTGGCAGGCAATGAGCTCAGCATGTCCTCAGAGCCAAGAGGAACAGGAGAGGAGCTGGGGGAAGTTCAGGAAGGAACACTTGCCTCTGCACTACAGCCTACTGCTCTAAAGTTAAGTAAACTTCATCCCCATTCATAGGTCAAACTGAGGCTCCACAAGTTTAGCTACCTTGTTCAAGGTCACCCAGCCAGTAAATTGTGGAGGACTTTCAGTCAAAGTAAGAATTATACTCTTGAAGTGCAATAAGACATTGGTTTACATTTTGGGGGAGACAGGGAAACATTACAATGTCTCCTATTCTCACACTTAGTTCTAACCTTGAGGCAATGCCATCCTCCTAGGGGGCCTCTGTTAATGTCTGGGACTATCTTTGATGTACCAATAAAGTGGGTGGGTTGTGCTTCTGGCTTTTAGTACTCTAGAGGTCAGACATGCTACAATGCTGCAGATAGTTCTGCACAACAAAATATCAATCTCAAAATGCAGTTTCCTGTTGGATAACACCATAGGCTCCTCATAGGTTCAGGAGGTAGAAGTGGTGAAAGTATTAACTCCCTCTGGCATGAAGTCAGAGGAAGAGACGCAGTGACTTGTCAAAGGGCAGTATAAAAGGTGGAGTGATTAAAGCTATGCACAAGTCATGCTGGCTGGGCTGGTCTTTGGCCAGTGTTGCCAACATAGTCAATACAACCCTATGAAATCTCTTCATAAGGTCATACTGAGACAGAGTAGGATCCACCACTTACAAGTGGTTAACCTTGAGCAAGTCACTTAACTTCTTTGAGCTTTGTAAAAAGAAAACTCCTAAGATTTTGAGGATTAAATGAGATGTCTGAATGTGCCTGGCGCAATGTCTAGCCAGAGTATCTTGTTAAGTGGTGGCTATATTTATCTCACCATTATAAAATGCCACTCGGCTTATGTTCCTTAGCTAACCCCCTTCTTAAAATATTTCCAGTGAAGAAATGTGTATTCCACAAGACACTTGTTTTGCCAAAGACTTAGATAAAATGTTTTCACTCAGTTGCCACCTCTAAATCCCTTGGACTCCCCACTCCCAAAGACAAGGTTAATGGGATAGAATTTAAACTTGAAAAAACTCAAAATTTTAACACATTATACCCAAATTACACGCTAATACACTAATGTTCATTATTAGTTTACACATACTACAAAGGTAGTATTGAAAATAATTTTTTTCACGACCAACTATGGAGGAAATAGTGTCCCTTTATACTTAAACAATAGTGCAGTACCCAACAGAGAGCAGGGTTGAGAACTCAGAAGCTTAACAAGTACACAGGATATGCAACAATTTGGTTATAACTGAAACCAGATTAAACAAAATATTCACACAATCATAGCTTGAAAAATAGAGCTAGACAAGCTACACTCAGCCCCTCTGGACTAGCAAGTGAAGTGTGTTCAACACTTCAAGGAGAAGCCATCATACAAGCCCTCCTTGAATGCTCTATATACAATCTTTTCTTCTAAATTTCTATATTTTTGTATGAATTTACTTTGTACTTTGAGTTCAGTGACTGTATATTTGGGGTGGAAAAAGGTGAAGGCAACAGCTGGATAGCCAATGAGTAAAAGTTAGAGTCCAGACACTGTATAGTTCACTGGTAGTGGGGCCCACAATGCAATAGCACTCTCTATATTATTTTTAATGATTAACAGAGTGCTTATTAAGGGAACAAATTGGAGTAATCATATTTGAGATCACATGTTGTATCTCAACCCAAAAAACAGGGACTTTGATGAACCAAAGGCTGAGATTCAGAAAAGACTTAACTATGCAAAATAATTATTTGAAG